GAGCTCAAATTTATCATTGCTGTAGTTGTGCTAACGGCACTCAAAAAATGTTTCTCAAACTTCCCTTGATCAAGCTGAGAGCAGAGGCTTGCTAGTTGCTTAATTCTGCATTGTACACTACAATGCAGAATTAAGCCTCTGGAAGTAGCAAAGTCCTATGTAACCTTGAAATGGAGAGAGGACAACATCAGCTTTCCTATTTTGTATTTTTCCTTACATAGCACACACTGTAGTGTGAAGATCCCATCTTGAAAGTGTCTTCCAAAAGGCTCATTGAGACCAGAGTAAGTTTGTATAGTCATATAGTTTGACTGGAAACACATTCATCTACATAGTGAATTGATGTACAGTATCACTCAAATCAGGCTGCCAATGCTAGTTAGATAAATGATTAGTAAATGTTTGTATAAAGTCACCAATTTAATGAGTGTGAAAGTGGAAGCATGAGCAGGAGGACGAAAGTAGATCAAGTTTAAGCAATGTTCCAGGATATCTGCAACCACGATTTGGATGGGGTGGAAATGGTGAGCATGGAGGAATGTGAGGGGGATGAGGTCAGTGATCAATATTAGCAAAAGACAAAGACATCATTGACATGATCCTGAGGTAATATTCCAGCAGGGCTGCAAACCTTGAGAAGGCCTGTGTCTGTGTGTTTTACAATATTGGATGTCACTCTGGAGTCCTCTGCTGTAGCTTGATGCATGAGTGATCTGGAATGTGTTCATATTTGAACTTTGAAAACTGCACAGACGGTACGTCACAGACTTATTATCTTGATTACTTCTTATGGGGATAGAATAACCGAAAGCAGTATTGCCTGACATAGGGCAATCTACTTGCCTGCCTTCCTTCCTTCCAAAACGTTATTGACAGCAAGTCATTTAGAGTCAGGTAATTGTCTTTAATAAGTGAAATACACTGGACAAATTTGCGGGGAAAGCATTGTCTCCATTGCCTGCAGGTAGTCGGTCTTCTTCAACAGTAGTGACACTACAGTGCATGACCAAACTGAAGCAACACAGCAGCATGTTTGGCTTCAGAGAATTACCTGAACACACCGAGATGATTCGATGTATGATGTTGCAGGCATTAAATGTTACTAATAAGGACTGTGCAGAACATGTAAGGTTTTGAAAAGGTCAAGTGACAGAATTTCTTGGTGATGTAATAAACATGACCTGGATTTTGTTTTTCTTTTCCTCAATGGTGCTGTGAATGTCTGCAGATGGCTGTAGGACCACAGAGAGGAGGAAGAGTTGGTCAATTTTCTCCACAGATTCTCTCATGTTTTACTGGATATGACACAGTTACAGTTTTAACAAAAATGTAGAAAATAGATTTTTGTAAAAGTGGCCCACTGAAGCGTTAATGAAAAAATAATGGTAACTAGGAACTTAAAATTAGCGATTATCTCTTTAGACTAAGTTATGATTCATAAGGGCTTTGTAAACTTTTGTTTTGTGAACGTCAGCAGCCCTCTCCTTGGAGATGTTCAAACCTCAGTTGAGTTATGAGTACACAAACTTTCCATATAGGTGAGGCATCTCCTAGGTTTGATGTTATATTAGAGATATTTCTTGATGTTCAGATGCGTTCTTCCCTTAAGTATCAGTACGTTATATTTAGTGCATGGCATGCACAACAGAAGAACAAGGGTAATCGCATAAGGACAAACAAACCTGCGCTGTCTGCAAAGGAAGGATTAGTGAACAAAGCAGAATTAGTAAAAACTGATAGGAAGGTGATCCAAGGACCCTGAAACCCGAAGAGTACAACAGAATGCAGTGCAGCTGAGCGCGAACCTAACTGAGGAGCTGACGAAATCTGACTCATAACCAAGAAAATAATACACAGGGACATGCATAACAGGACACATGAAAAGAACATCTTCCACCAAAGCAAATGCAAAAATAACAGAACAGAAGAAATGGTCTCAAAACAAAAGTCAACCTTCAGATGCACATGCTCGTGGTGTGCCCAATTCCCAACGGTGTGAATTAAACTCACACCCTGGACATCAACGATGTGAGTTTGTGCCAAAATAACATTGTTTGGTTAATAAGTAAGATTATTGGATAGTTACATAATATAAACTGAAACAAAACAAGCTTTTCGATTTTTGTTTTCTGGATCCTCCAGATAAACAAATGAACAGTCGATTAGAGAGGAAGAACCACTGTGCTGCGTTCCTCTGTAAGCTTTGGCGAGTAAAACTATAAAATAATGGTTTATTCTCATGACTTTGCTATGAAAAGTCTTAACCATCATGAGGACTCCAATGTCCTCATGGAACCATTGTCTTCAATGTGATTAACCCCTTAATTGTCACCATTTTGGGGGTAACAATTAAGGGGTTAAAGGCGTTTCTCTGTCTTAGTTGTCAAAGTTAAAGTCTGTCCTGAAGGTGGCAGTCTTTTGGATCGGGAGTTATTGAATTTCTTAGTAGTTAATTCTTAAAGTTAATAATATGCTTGGGCTGTTGAGGCAGAAAGAAATCATAAATCAGATCTGGTGTGATTTTATGGATGTATATCAGTAAAGGTGTTGAGAGAACACCCATTCATTGCTGTTATGGTCGCTGAATGAGTGATTTATAGGGTTGTGTCATATATAAATGTCCTCTGCTTCAATTTCTTTTTTTGAAGCACATTTTATAGATTTTTGTTTTATTTAATACATTTTTTGAGTGAGTAGATGGTATTAGTGCCCTGCCATTTTTGAGAGGATAAAAATGCCACCGTTGGGCTGTCATGGATCCGTTCCGATATTCATGTTGGCTCACTTCTGTCTCCCTGTGAACGCTTTCTTTAAGGTGGTAGAAAGGAGGAGCTGATTGCCAAATCCTCTAACTCACTGTTTCTTGGTCTTAGCTGTTGAACAGTGGATCAGATCTTAACTCTCTCAAAACTGCTGAGAGTTGTGTTTTGTGGATCTGGTGAAAGGTTATGGCTGTGTCCTGTATTGTGTTGTGGCTGCCTAGTAATCCTGATCTTCATCATAATGTTCAATGATTGTAATCTCAGGATCTGATCTTTGCTCTTTGGAAATGATGATGTTTTGTTGGCATCTTCAAGCCATGACCGTCGGTATGCACCGAGCCTGATGGCAGCGAGTGGGAAGTGGCCAATGGGTGAAAAAGATTCCTTCCTCTTAGTTTAAAAGCGGTGGAAGAGTACAAATATTTCAGTATCTTTCTCACATGCGGTCGTAGGTTGGAGTGAGAGACGGATAGACAGTCTGCATGTTTATCTTTAGTGATCCATGTTTTATGTCGGTTAGTCATGAGAAAAAAAGCAGAGCTCTCAATTTTTTTGTCTACATTCCAGCCCTCACTTTTCGTCATGAGATACGGATCATGACAAAAGTCTAGATACAAGCAGCTGGAGAGGGCTCCCACCCTACTGGCCTCAACCTTGGACTCTCAACACTTGAGGTTTCCATGAGGAACTTAGACATTTTGCTTGAGACGGGAATGCCTCAGTTTCCCTCCAGGACATGTTATCCTTTTGACCCAAGCTGGATAAGAAGACAATGACTGGATTGATGGATGGAGTTCCCTATTCCTTGGCATACACCTTGTTCCAGCATGTACTGTCAGTATAACCCACCTTTATGAATATCAGTGCTTCATTTATGCCGCAGAAATATTTTTTGTAAAAAAAATATATTTTTTTACAAAAAAAAATTTTTTTGTAAAAAAAAAATTTTTTTACAAAAATTTTCTTTTTTTCTTCTTAGAAATTTTCTTCTAAATGAACAAAAACTGTTCATTTAGAAGCATTTGCATAGAAGCTGTGTGTGTGTGTGTGTGTGTGTGTGTGTGTGTGTGTGTGTGTGTGTGTGTCTCTTTCTGTGAAATATGAAAGTAAAAAGTTCATAAGATAAAATATTTTTAAAGTTTTAAACTAAACACAAGATTTTTTTAACACAGTGGATGATCTGGCTTTAAAGAGTTTTAAAGAATCATTTGTAAAAGTAAAGAAGAAAGACCAACAAATTAAATTTTGGTCTTAGTTCTACAACATTTTAATTGAGTCGAGCCTTAATGTGTGTCTGATAAAACAGACCCTGCTCAATTTAGATACAAATATTAGAAACTAAAAAAGAAAAAAAAAAAGAAAAAATACACTTCCTTTCCAAATAAGGTAAAAAAAAAGAGAAAGAAATGTAATAAATCATATGTGAATAAAAAACAGAAAACAGAAATAATTTTGAAATACCTTTACAGGGGCGTAAAAATGTATTGGGGGTGTACAAATTGATTTTTCACAGACATAAAGATCATTTGAAAAGGAAGAATTCCTTGTTAGATGTTATACCATCAGGTAGAATAAATCTGAGTAAACATCTGGTGCAGTCTGCTTGGTATATAGAGCAAAACATTTTTATTGCATGATTCATGCCCATAGTTTGGAGTGGGAGTCCTCTTGGATTGCAGTAGTCTGAATGAAAACATAATTCAGTTAAACTATCAATATATTGATTTGATTTAATATATTGATAGTTCAACTGAATTTTATGTAAGAAACTGAAATCTGACTTCCTCTTAAATCTAACTGTATGAGACACACGAATATGACATGTATGTTTTCATAATAAAAATACTCGGATTACATTTAGTCTGGCTTAGCTCTATATTTAAAAAAAAAAAAAAGGTGACAGAACCACAGAGGATATGTGGTTATATTCACATATTTAACCTGATAGTTTTGAGTAAAATTGGACTTCAAGATCACAAATGGAAGCATTTCCTCTTTACATAAGTGTGTTAGAATCTTTTCCCTTCTCCGTTCACTCCACTCACCGTTTCGATCCTGAGTACGTTGAGTTTATACAGCTGCCTCAAACCGCCAGTGCGCGCACGCTTTCAGGCACACAACCACACACGAGAATACGGGGAGCTGTGCGCACATTTTCTGGCTCCGGGAGGAAAGAGAGGGATCGTGTGCAGGGCGAAGGCGGTTGGGAGGTGTAGCTGCTCTGCTTTTTAGAGACGCGGTCATGAAACTGGGGGGGGGGGGGATCAGAGCTGAGGAATGCATCGCGACGGAGTGCCCTCCTCCACCTCGCAGCTTCACCTTCACTCTCCGAATGCACAGCGCAGAAATCCCCGCCCTCACTCCGTTCAACGAGCCAATCATATCCTCCTGCTTCTGCCGTGGCCCCGCCCTCCTCCTCGCTCTCCCAGCAGAGAGCTTTGGAACCGGAGAGGTAAAGAGAGAGGGCGCGAGGGATCAGGCAGACGAGGTGCACGCACACGCGGCAGAGGTGCCAAAAAGCACGCGAGGACGCGGGACTCACAAACGCTCAGGCGCGTGCGCGTGAGGAGCGGGGAACCGTTTTCTTGAGCTGACATAGAAGAAGAAGAAAAAGAACAAAAAAAAAAAAAATAGCGTGGTGTTTAAGGAGGAGAAAGCAGCAGCGTGGTGTGGTTTTTCCTGCACCGGTTTTCCTTTTTCATCCCTTACATGGATCGGAGAGAATGAGAAAGAAGTGAGACAAGAGACGGAGGAGAGTCAACATCAGAAGTGAGAGCGATCGTAAAGAAAATTTAAAGAAAAGGAAAGAAGAAAGAAAGAAGAAAAGAAAAGCACAAGGCTTGTGCGTTTTTTGTCTCTTCCAAAAAGAAGGGAAGGAAGAAAAGCCAACCAGAGAAGACAGACGGAGGTGTTTTCCTGCTTTTCTTCAGCCACTCGGGTCCTGCGTGTGCCTGAAAGGATCCTATGTTTCTGGAAGCTTTAACCCTTTAAACTGGAGTACTTATACAGACAAGGTACACACAGCCCAATTCAATTTTCTTCCTTCCCTTTTCTTCCAGCTGCACGGTGGTGTGTGTGTGTGTGTGTGTGTGTGTGCCTGCATGCCTTGGGAAATTGCTTGGTCTCTAGTCAATTGACTGTCATTGTGTGAATTCACTGACTGAATGTAAACTCATTGACGAAACAACACTGCGAGTGTGTGTGTGTGTGTGTGTGTGTGAGAGTGTGTGTGTGTTGAAATAATGGCAGAAAGAAAGTCGGAAAACAAAGAAGCAATGAAAAGGAGAAAAGGTTTTTTTCAGAATCTGTGTTTTTTTAATTCTTCCTCTGATTTCTGTTTTCACCAGGTTTTCCTCTCCTGTCTTAAAGACTGTAGGATGCTGGGATGTTTTTCAGTGCTGGTTAATTTTCCCTCGTATTTTCCTGCCAATCCAAACTGAAAATTAATCCTCCATAACGGCCCGTTTTTCAATCCAGGTTTCAACATGTTGTTGACGGCATAGTTTCCAGGTTTCCTTCGAGCAGCTCCAGATCAGGGCTGAGGGGGGATTGTCCTGGTAAAATAACTGGCCACTGTGGATTGCAGCAGGCCTGATGAATTACACTAGTGTGACGCTCTTTGCTGAAGATAGGCAGCTGCACTGAATTCACACCAACAGAGTTTCACGTCAGCCTTTAAAGGTCAGATCTGTCCTGAGGACAGGGTTGCCTCTAGATGATAACACTGAACGAGAAGCAGACACTTTTAATTCAATTATACCTTCAAAAGAACACTTGGTCTCATTTCATGTCGACTTCGCTTTGACTTTGAATTCTCCACATCACTGTGTCCACTTTTTTTTTTTTTTTTTTTAGCCGAGAAGACATTTCTCCGAAAAGGACTTTTTTTTTTTTTTCCATCCTCCTGAAATGGAAGCCTACTTTTTGAGGTTGCAATCTTCAGCATTGCTTTTCTGCCACACACACACCTCAGCCTTTGCGTGGGCTTTAGAGTAGAAGGCAGGAAAGCCAGTTGGAGTTTCCATAACGTTAGTAAATCAATGCTTTTTGTTTCATCTCCGACAGAAGGCATCCCAACATGCTGGCCGCAGGCGTTGCTCGTCAAATAACTGCAGTAGTCTAGAGTATAAAGTTAAAACTTTATCATCCAGAAAGCATGAGTGCAGAGAAAAACTACTTTAGCTGAAAAGTCTTATAATGAGCAAACTTGGCATAAAACACAAAAGTTCCTTCAGAAGTTCTAATTTCTCTAATCTTTGGGTTTCTGTGGATATTATCTGGAGTGAAAATGAACAAGGAAGGCGTCCCTAAATCTCATAGATCACATTAAGATTAAAGTTCAAGTAAATTGTGTTTCCGTGATGTAATTTATGGAAGTATTTTTGGCTTCTGTATGACAGAAATTAATTGAAGAGTGAAAAGTTTTGATCTGTCACCCAGTGTGTGCCAGAGTAATAGTAAAAGGTGCATTAAGCCGACCTGATTTGCCATCGGAACAATTTAACGCTTCGGCTTTTAGTCCTTGTGTTTTCTGAAAGGCTTGATGGTGATGTGTGTGTGTGTGTGTGTTTTGTAGGGGTGAGGTGACGGTTAGGTTGACGGGACTCTGCCTCTGCTCACACACAGAAAGAGAAGATGGGCTTTTGCTTTTTGCCTAATCACTTCCAGACAGAGATTTGCATTCCCCCGCCCCTCTCTCTAGTTTGGTGTGTGTGTGTGTGTGTGTGTGTGTGTGTGTGTGTGTGTGTGTGTGTGTGTGTGTGTGTTGAGGACATCACTTTCTTTCTTTTCTCCTTCTTCCCATATAGAACACGCACATTACGTTTTGTACAACAAATTAAAAAATAAGCTTCATTGAGACACGAGGGTGTGAGTGTGTTTGGTGTGTGTGACATGGCAAAGGAGGAAGTGGGTGATGGATTAAAGGAATTAAACTGTCACTGTGAGAGGAAACATGCTGAAAAACTGTGGATGGACAGGCCGTAAAGAACGGAGGGCACAGACAGTGGTGGAGGCAGGAACATGTGTGACTGGTTAAGATTCCTGCAGGGATTTTACCCTGATAAGACGAAAGGGAGCAGTGAAATTTTACATCCTTTACATAAAAATGTATATACATAAAAATGTGTATAATAGTTCAAGTAAAGTATTTACTTTCTGTTCCCTTAAATATGTTCTGTGTCAATGTACTTTCTGTTTTGCAATAATTTTACGTCTCCAGCTTTTATGACTTTGAGGCACTGCTCACTAAAACATCTGAATATTACTGCGCAGTTATAACCGCTTTCTACTGACAGTTCAATATGATGAGGTGAGGTTTAAAAAGATTTATCGCCTTACTACTGTGTTATTACTCCACGTTCTTGGCTCACAATAGCAAAAAAAATAATCCAAGTAAAATCTTTGTTTTTTTTTTCTACTCAGTTTTATTACAATATTATCACAAAATATAACAGGTTTTTTTTTCTATGTTTCAAATTGAATTCTTTGTGAACATTTTGAAACATTTTTTTTTTCTATTTCTTTCTTTTTTTAGCTTTTCTGGAATGTTTTAGTGGATTAGGACTTGTGTGAGTTTCAGACCAACCCCTGTGCAGCACAATGCAGTCAGTCAGGCAGCACAGACAGCTGCTACATTCCACTAGTGGTAAAGCTAATGAGAAAAAAAACACTCTGAAATGGCACCACTAATGTTCAGCAGCACACGTCTACCTGCGTTATGTTGGAGCTTCTTTTTTTCAGGGTTTTTCTTTCTTTTTTTTTTTTTTTTGCAACAATCAGTTTGTTTATACTAAACAAGAGTCCACAAGTGAGCTCATAATTGTTATCTACATACATTTACCCAAAAATCTAAAAAGGTTATAATATGTAGTTATTAAGGGACTTAAATATCTGTGTGGCATAAAATTGCTTTAACAAAGAAATATAACCATAACTATATTTTATTTAATTGAGGGAAATTTTCGAAACAGATAAAATAGTTTTTAGGTACTTTATTCAAAAGTTTGTGGTAAAAATGCTAGAAATTATGTGCAGCATGCACAGTTCAGCGTGTTTACTTAATTTTTTTTTACATTTTGGCGAACCTGACTCCATTTCAACCCACAACTCTGAGGCTGAATGATTGATTTCCAAGGCAACAGCTTTGATATGAAGATGAGGAGTTGGGTGGAAGCTAATATTTCCGTGTTTTTGTAGAATGTGTTATTTATTTATTTATTTTTACATTTGAACATTTCAGTGTTTTCCAGTTTTTTTTTTTATTACACCAGTTTATTCCCTGTTCATATCAGATTAATCTTCGTTGTTGTACATAAAAGACTGACCTGTTTACTTCAAGTTCAGTTTTATTCATCACACAAGTTGTATTTAACGTCTTTCTAACGTCACTTTAACGAAAAGTATTAAATTGATTAAATGTAAAAATATTGGGATTCCTCCTAAATGAATTTAATTCAGTGCAGCAGAGTTTCACTTCATTTTCAAATCTGTCAGCCGAAATAATTGATTTACTCGAATGCAGCAGCTCAATAAAATGCAGTCCTGTTATAGTCCTGTCCTTTCTAATTGAAATAAATGAAACCTAATTGTTAATTACTCTGACTTTCTTTTTCCAAATGCTTTTCCATAGTGCTTTCTCTGACTAAATTGTTATAGTCCAAACAACAGTTTTCTCAAAATGCTATACTGGCTAATATATTGTCATTTTTATTTAATTTCCATTTAGTAAATTCTTTTTTAAACACTTGTCTTCTCAATTTAGCTTTAGCATGCTGAAAGAACAAAATTACATTTTGGATGAATGTTTTTCAGTTCCGTGTGTATTCACGGAGAGATAAAGGTTTGAAACACACAGTCTGTGTGTGCGTGGGGGTGTGTGTGTGTATCCTAGCGTTTCAGATTATTCTTTTTTTTTTTCTTCCATCCTGAGGCTTTATCAGATTATTATAGATGTATTTGCAGATTAAAGGGACAGTGTGTGTGTGAAAAACTGACCACTGAGGCAGACAATGTGACTAGCCAACCATTATATGACCTGCTGGATCCCAGCACCGCTACACACACACACACACACACACACGGATATATGTACATATTCACATGAGCAGCCATGCATGCGCGGGGGAACACACACATTGTGGTGAACAGCTTTGTGTTTCTGGTCAAGGCCGGAGAAACAGGCTACCTGTCTTATATGCTGACTGATTATATATGTGTGTGTGTGTCCAGGAGTGTGAAGGTACTTTACATCATGAGAGTCGGTCTGCTTTTAAGAAACTTGACTCTTCTCGATTTCTCATTCCTGCACTTTTCCTGCACTCTTTCATTCTGACACACACACACACACACACACACACACACACACACACACACAATGCTTAACCATGCATGCGCCCCACCACCTCCCCCAAACACACACAACTAATTCTATGTCTCTCTGTAGCTCTCTCTCCACAAATAGAGCATGATCTCCTAGCAACGAGGCCTTTGAGAGGGATGTGTGAGATAGATTGAGTGTCTGCAATATAGGAGTCTGTGTGTGTGTGTGTGTGTGTGTGTGTTTAGGTTTCAAAGCCAGAACGATGATGAAAGTCATCAGAGCAAGGACACCGCTTTGAAGCGGAAGTTAAGGAATGAATGCAAGAAGGCGGCTCGTCCTTGGAAGGAAAACTTTGTGGGTTTCCTTTCCGTCGGATTGCGTTACCGTTGGTGGGACAGAAACTTTTTGAATAGTTGTATATTGAACATCGATCTGCTGTATAACATTATTGTTCGGCAGCACAGACGCCTGGTAACAGGCCTGAGTGGTGGAAGAGCAGGAGACCTGAACGACATCCCAGGAGAGCGATGCCGGGCCGAGCAGGAGAAACCTTGATGCGGGTTCTGCTGGCTGTTGTATAATCTTGTTTACTGAAGCTGAGCTGGACCACGAATCAAACGGTTCTGGTGCACTGCTGGCAGTGCTCTGGGTTTTAATCTTACAACAACAGAAAAGGCACCAGAATCTGAATGT